CCAACAATAGCAGATTGTGGCAAGTCTACATTGTGTGCCATTGATTTCAACTAGAGAGAAAAACTTGATCAAAGGTATTGTTCTTTGTGTACTTCCCACAAACGGCGCCAATTGTACGAGCACAAAATAATCTTCTCGTATAATCCTGTTGATCAAGTTTGCGCTCCTTCAAACGTCATCGCTTTACTTCCTAAAACACAAACGTGAGCTAGTTGGCGGGTGTGTGCCGGATACCTCTCCGATGCCTAAGTCAGCAAAATAGACAATAGACAAAAGCTCTGTGTATTCGAGAATCAAAGTTGTGATGCTTGTGTATAGGTCCTACTATGAGCTTTTATAGATTTTGTGTGGTACAATCCTAGTAGGACTCTTTTTCTCCAATGTAAAGTCCTCATAGGAATTAGAAAGGTAATGCTCATCTTTCTACACCCCCCTCACTGCCTAACCAAGTGAGATGGTCTTACCGCGGTAATATGACAAACAACCGAGCTATCCCCAACCCTCAGACAGACTCAGCTCGGTGCGTCCACAGGCGACGCTTTGCTCGGTCACTGTTCAACTATACCTCGGCTCTGAATACAATGACTGAGCTAACTATTACCACTCCATCCGAGGTAACTGCAACCATACTTAGACCGAGCTAATCAGCAAGGTCCAATTTGCTAAGTCCTTTTCACTACGGCCCATAGATCGGCCCACTACAAAGTCTAGGCCTAGCTCGGCCCTTATGCACATAAAAACTCCCTCTCAATTATAAAATACAAGTTCTCACAAAAATACTCTAAACGCCTCTAATACCAATAGTAGCTCTCTCATTGGGGGGAAGTTCAAATCCTTTTCTATAGAGGTAGATTGCCTCCCTCGTTTATAACCTAAATTAGAAGGCATTGCTTTTGTTCATGAGGCATATTATGAGTCTCGTTTTAATGATTTAAACTATTTATTTTGTTAAGTAGTTCATGTATTTCATTTGTATAAAAATTTATATCGATCTGATAATCGTAACCTATTCAATTTATCACGTTTGTCATAAAAAAAAATGAATGACTTATTTTTAAAAACATAATTGTCATTTTTTTAGCAGCAAACTCAATAAATTGAATTAGGTTACGATTATAGAATCAATTAAAATCTTTTTATAAATAAAATAGATAAAATATCTGACATAATAAATCATTTAACTTATCAAAATGTTACAAAATCTTTTTATAAATAAAATAGATAAAATATCTGACATAATAAATCATTTAACTTATCAAAATGTAACTCGTAACGGACCTTACGAGCTTAAATAATGCCCTGCAATTCACATTATGGACAACAACAAATCCTTCATCTAATTTATATATATACATACGTCAGAGAATCGGTACAACTTGGAGTCTCGTGGAAGTTGATCCTCTTTGTTGTTCTAGACAAAGATTCTCTGTAGCTCTAAGCTTTATAACCCTTGTTTTGAAAAATAGGGTAAAAATTAATTTTTTAATTTTTTTTTGGATTTCTTTTAATGTATAAAATAATAAAAAGTTGATATGACTCAAAATAAATTAAAAGTCAATAAATAACTTTTAGTCAGATTTCCAAAATAAGCCTAACTATTCATTATTAAACTTGTACATGTTATGTTATGTTGTGTATTAAACAAATGGCCTACAGTGACAGAACCACACCATTCACAAGCAATAATATTCACATTCATTTGTGCATATTATCTATAATAACAACAATATTATATTTATCGAATTTGATATCGTTTGAATTGATCGAATTTGTTTATATCGGTCGTCTGGTAAGTTGATCAGTCGATCGTTTAGATGACAAGATGACGACTGTGGTAAATGAAAGTGAAGTCGGTCGTCTGGGCGTTCGTTTGATTGGCACAAATTTAGACATTTCGAACTACAAATTCAATGGATAAATTATTTCACATATAATAAATTGGTATTAATTATGAAATTTTATAGTGTTTGATTATATACCATAATAGTCATGGACTAAATAGCTCATCTTACAGTATTTAATTATGTCTCAAAGGAATTTTGATTATAACTTATGATATCAAAGCAATGTTAAAGTTGTGTTAGCTAGATTCTAATACAATTATAATTAGTGGCGGAGTTAGAAAATTAAATTAGAAGGAACATTTATTAATTAAAATTTTAATTAATTTTTTTTCATAACCAACAATAAGAAGATAATAATAATTTTTGAATTAATATTAAGTACAAAAATTTAAATAAATTATTACAAAACTATTTCATATAAAATTTTACAATTAATTTTAAGTCAAATCGAAAGGACAATATTACGTGTAACTAGTATATCATGAACAATGTAAAAAAATCATATATTTAAGTCTTAAAATAAATTATATAATGGTAAGATAAATTAAATTTTTACAAAATTTGAGTAAAAATTTTATATAATAGTGATATCATGTCATCATTAACATATGATATCACCAACTAATAATAAAACAACATATGAATGATGAATTCCACATGCAATTATAACTAACACTCTAATAATTTTTACATATATATAGTGAGATTAATTATATTTGCATATCAATAATGATAGATATCACTTTTATATTGAGATTTTTCACAAAATTTTCATACATAAAAATATAATTTATTGTAGTCACTTCATTTTTAACAAAACAATCACTATTATTCTCATAAATTTAAAAATGACGTTAATATTTTATTCTAAATATAAATTTTTAAAATTTTATTTATATACATATGTAAAAAAATAAATAAAAAAATAATCCAGGACATCACCATGTGGCTCCGCCACTGTTGGAGATTCTTTTCAAGTCTCATATGAAAGGAAATAAATATTTGGAGTTTTATCCACTTTCATATTTGCTTATACTTTCTAATTTACATTATGAAATAATTACTAAAAATTTTACAAATACTAATAATCTTATTAAAAATATAAGAAATTAAATGTGATTGGTTGTCAACAAACAATGATATTTAAATATTTAATGATGTTTAAACATATATATTTTTAGTAATATTATTATTAAAATTTTAAGTAGATATAATATTGTTCAATAAATAAAGTAATTCATTTTAAATTAAAGGCTCCATGCATAGCATGGTTACTGCTAGTTATATTTAGGGTAAATTATAAATAAACTTTTTGAAATTTGATTAAAATATGAATCACCCCTCTAGTTTTGAAAATTACATTTCATCCTTGAGGTTTCTAATTTTATAACAAATCCCTTTTTTTTATTAATAAATCATCAAGTCAATTAATAGTTTTTAATGATGTTAAAAATAATTCCAATTAATAATTTAGGTAATTTTATTATTGTATAGAAAAACAATTATGAATTTCATTTTTTTTGTTAATTGTGTTAAATAAAAAATTATAATAGGGGGTATTTGTAATTTTTCAAATCACAAAAAGTAATCTGTATTTTAAGTAAATCTCAGGAAGTGTATCTGTAATTTACTCTTATATTTATATAAAGGGATTGGATTATTTCCGGTCCGTAATCGGACTGGGCCATCTAGTCCAATTTAGTGGGCTTACTTTTGGATCATATTTCAATAATTTAAACTGTTCACATTTTAAAATTCATTGATTACATAATCTTTGTAAAAAATAAAGTCAATCAGATAACGAAAATCACGTATTCGGATTAATTTTGTACGAATCATTTATCTTCTCATAATTTATTTTTTTATACAAAATTGATCCCAATACATAATTTTTATTATTCAATTAATTTAATTTTTTATAAAAATAATACACTCGACAAATTTTAAAATATAAATATTTAAATAATTAAAACAGATTCCAAAAATAGGCCACAAGGCCGAACAATATCTCTCCACTCCAATAAAGAACGGGAGAAAAGGCATTAACTTTTATACCATTCACGACATGTGATAAAAAATGGACGAGAGAGGGTAAATTTGCCATTTTGGTGGGACCATGAGAATGCCCGGGGAGCATCTATTTACACACACCAAATACCCTCTTTGCACATCCTTCTCACTACACATACCAAAAAAATTAATTTCTAATTAGTTTACTCACTACACACACGGTTCATTCCACATCTACCCTCATACACACACACACACACACACACATCCCTGACCCCAAACCCAGCTCTCCCAACGGTGCAAATACACACACCCATTGAAGCTGAGCTACATCTTCAACCTTGAGGATCTACACACCCATTGAAGCTTACCGTGTGTAAATACATTGAAGCATTCCATCACATAGAAGTTTACCGTGTGCAACCCAGGTGTGCAAATACATTGAAGCATTTCATCCACGAAGCTGCATCCCATTGAAGCATTCCATCACATTTTCAATCCTCATTAGGTGAGTTTACTTTTGAATCATCATCCCTATTTAATTTGCATCGTAGAGTTTTGTTTTTTTCATTTTGAAAACGAACGAAGGCCCACGGATCGTAAACAAACCGTTTGGAACTGGGTTTCCGAAATTAAGGAATTTGTTCGGAAGTAGGAATTCGAAATTGATGATTTATTTCAACAGTAGGTTTCTGAAACTTTTTGATTATTTCGACAGTCAACTTCCGAATACATTAAATTCAAACAACAATCAACTTCCGAAATTAATATATACTTTCGGTTTTCAACTTTCGAACAGTATATATATTTTCGGTTTTCAACTTCCTAACAGTGTTTTTTTTTTTTTTGCTCTCTCCTTTCTTTTGTGTATTATTTTTACATTTGTGGTAATCTCATATTGAGCTTCAATGGGTACTAACATGGAATTGAAAAATGGTATAGCTTTGTTTGTGGATAGAATTAGAGAATAAGAGCATTAGTAATGCACTAGGATCGATTATTTTTTTTTTTAATTTTATTTTGTTTGGGTATATTAATTTTTGCAGAGAATATGGATTTTGAATATCAACAACGTGTCCCACCTACTGCTTCAAATAGACGATATCGTGAATTGGATGTTGACCATGAACGGGGACAAGGGCGTGGATGAGGACGAGGTTGAGGTCGTGTCGAGGTCATGATCCAGTTTCGGTAGAATATGATATCCCCAGTGTCAGTCAAAGTAGAAGCCAAAGCCAAAAACGAGTTGAAGGTGATGATATGCCTGACATTGCTGTGGAGGACGCCTCTTTACCCGATTCTCCTACTGTCCAGGAAGAGTACCTTACTCATGCTTTTCCAGGTGGACCGACTGATCCATCAATATTGCGGAGTTTCAATAGTCATGTGGCTGCAGCTATTTGGCGCGGGGAGGTAAACATTTCCTAGTAAAAGTGAAATTCATTTGTACATGAGTTTTTTTTTTTTTTTTTTTTTTTTTTTTTTTTTTTTTTTTTCTGTGTGTGTTGTATAGTAGTTTCTAATGAGATATCATTTGTGTTATAGGAACGAGGGCCCCTAAAGTGTCATAATCACTCTTCCAAGATCCTTGCATGGCCATGGTGGCCAGTAGAAAACAACACCAGATTCAAAGCCATTACTGAGCAGTCTGGGCTGTCACAGTTAGCCCGTTGCACTTATTGGTTCGTCAACAAGTTTTTAATCTCCAGTTTTGTTGAGAGATGGCAACCTGAGACGAACACATTTCACATGATAGTTGGTGAGATGACCTTGACCCTGGATGATGTTGGCACTATTCTTGGCCTTCCCATTGTAGGCAAATCAGTTAGCGTACCAGATGTGACAGATCATCATGGAGTTACATTACTCGTTTATGGCTTGGGGATTACTGAACGTGTAGCACATGAAGAGGTTTCTTCTGCTGGTGGCAATTTAGTCAGGCTTGAGTGGTTGCAAAGTCAGTTTGCTGGTGTCACAGATTCAGACCCCGAGGAGGCCATACAATGCGCTGCTAGAGCTTATTTGTTATTTCTGTTGGGATGTACACTCTTCAGTGACAAGAGTGGCGGCAGGGTTCCTGTTGTTTACCTAGTAGGATGTGCCCAAAACAAGTCTGTCACAGTCACCGTGGACTCTTCAGACCAATGGCGCTCAATGTAATTATATTTGGCCAATTCACCCAATAAGTGTTGCATTTGTGATCTTCCAGCTCTCTGTACCACCCTGTTTCGATGGCGTACATTGTAAATGGTTTTAAGTGTGCTTATATTGAGGGCATCTCGCTGTTTCAAGGTTACTAGGATTTCTTTTGGCCAAACCATGCTCTTTGACATATCCATTAACAATGCTTTCTCATCCTTTGATAGCCTCCCTGCATATGAATGTCTCTCAAGGTGCTTCATAGGTGGATGATTATGCAATCCGCATACTATGGTCAATGTCCATTCATCATGTGTGGTAAACCTGTGAGCCCTCATATCAAAAGCACAACCACACTTCTTCGTACCGGTTATTCTTGATGTATTGTTGTCATCATGTTTTAACTTCTTTGTTGCTCTATATTGGCCACTCCTCTCACAAGCAAGATACATCCTGGGTCTTTTTTTTCCCTCCATCATAGTCTGATGTTTTGATTACAATGACTAAACCATTTCTCTTTCCAACTTCACGTACCCAGTTGAGCAATTCATCCTTACTTTTGAATACCTATAAAGTTAAATAAATATTATCAAACATTTACATTTGGTGAGCAATTCGAAACATAATCGTTATAATTTCGTAGAGTGAACCTGTTCAGTTGTGAATTGAGTGGTGTAATCTAACACAAAATCCGCGCAAACCTGACTTCCTTGAGTTGACACATATTCCTACATAGTTTGTATAACATTACAAATTTTTAATGGCATTATAAAGATTAATTTGCAATTTGAAACTGTAAATTTGGTATGCAGTTTGCAAATTTGGAATATAAAATGGAAAAAAAAAATTTACTTCATTCGAAAGTAGTTGTCCGAATTTATTTTCAAATTTCAGAAGTTGAATGTTGTAAAAGTTAACTTTGTTCGGACAACAACTTCTGAATTCAAATACCTTGTTCGGACAACAACTTCCGAAATTTATAACTTTGTTCGGACAACAACTTCTGAAAATAAATAATTATTTCAGTAGCAGATTTTCGAACCAAATAACACAATTCGACTCTGGTTATCCGAACGACGCTGGGAAAAAAAAATAAAATAAAACTCACATTTCCTTCGCTCTGTTTCACATAAACACTTATTTGCTGATTTTCAGAAGGCAAATCCTCCATAACAATGAAAAATGAGGAAGAAGCTTGTAGACACCCCATTTTTGATCGTCCTTAAGACTTGGACGCTGCTACTGACGGTTTACTTAGTGGTGAAAAGTGTGCAGGGCAAAGGTTCAATTTCTTCAGCAAGGAGAGAGTCAAATCCTAACCTCACACCCCATTTTGGACCAAAGCTATTTTTGAATCATTTTAGACTTCAAAACCCTCTCTTTCAAAACATTTTTGAAAATAGGTTTCTACGATGTTCCGACGCTCGCATTTTGTTAAATGTTGCGCTTTTCGGTAAACCGAGCAAGGACAAAGTGGAAATGAATGAAGGAGAGATGAACTCTTTTGAAAAATCTTTCAAAACACCTTGTTTAGGGGTTTGGAGTTGAAGAAAAAGAGGAGAGGAGAGAAGAAACCCAGTTGGGGAAGGAGTTGGGCATGAACCGTTAAGAGAGACGAGAAATCCTCGCCAAATCAGGCCTATCCTTTTGAATACTTGGATTTCAGCTATGAGGCCACCACCGTTGGAAATCTTATTTCCGAGGCTTCAATTTTCATTCAAGAATCTCCTCAAGCTGAGTCCGGATGGGAGAGATATGGTTGTTGGAAGTTGGGCATCAATCCGGTTGGATTGAAACTGGACAGTCTTCACTAAAAGAGGGATATCTCTTAGCACACATGGAATTTTGAGGTGAGGCTGCCAAATTTGCAAAGAAGACTTCCGGGGCTACAGTTTAGGCTCAAGAATGACTTGAAAAGGCATCTAGATGAAGGATTTAGGCTTTCTTCAAAACAGGGACTAGGACAGATTTTTGTTGCCGGCCTTTATGGGAGTGTGCCGGCCATGATTGGACAATGCCGGCCAAAAGTGACCCCTGCCGGCCATCAATGAGCCACTGCCTGCCATCACTGATGGCCGACAACACCCCTCTATCAGCAGGTTTCACGGCAGATCTTTTGAGCCAGCTGGAATCCTTTAATTTCCCCTCTATACACGTGTATGGAGGGATGAAGCTCTTGCCAAGCTTGTTCAAGAAGCTTTGAATTGATTTTTCTCTATATAAGGAGAGGCCCTCTCTCCTTAGCAGAGATTCAGCACTTTGACAAGAGATATAGCTCTCTCTCTCTATATATTTCTTTCTCTCTCTCTATATTATTGTTGTTTTAGTCCCTTTTCCTTGCACTTTTGCACTACACCTCCTAGCACAACACCTCCACCATCCATCCAAGCACATTGGAACTGATTTACAGAGGTTGAAGGCTCATTACCTTGGTCCAGAAGTTGCTGAGGGTCGGCTCTACAAGGGTAAGCCTCTATTTCCCATTTTTTTGTATTATTTTGCTTCATATCTTAGCCCTATTTGCAAGCATTTTTGGGTTTCGACATAAACTGAAAAAAAGTTTTCTTTTGAGCTTATAAACATGTTTGCTTAAGGACATTTTTCTGTTGGGGGTCATCTACCCCCTTGCATGCTTCATTTCCTCATGTTCAGGGCTATGCATTTAAGCATTTGCATTGGCCTTGGTTTGGCCTTTTAGCCACTGAAATCTAGTGGATTTTCAGTGGCTTAGATGTGTCTTTGAACTTCAAAATCAGAGAGGGGTGACTCTCTCACCCATTGTTCTCTTTACTAGCTTTGTTGGCCTTCCAAAGGAGCTCCATTTTGCATGTTGTGAAGTCATGTTTCAGGCCCTATTTTGTGAGTTTTGAGGTCTTCCTTGACCCTATCCAGAGCCCTTTTGGCCATATTTTGTGTCTTTGATGCATGTGTAGAACAACCCATTTCAAGGCCTTTCAAAAGGGCTTTCACTTGCATGTTTCCTAGACCCATTTTAGGCTCTTTTCAGTGGATTTTAGGACCCTTAGAACCTCTTTCTAGAGGTGGTTTTTCCATTTGGTGTGTCCATCATATAGGTGTAGAATACCCCCTTGCATGGCCTTCCAAAGGAGCCCATCATTCTTGCATGCATTGACTGAGTTTCAGTGGTTATTTGGGCATATTTTGGCATGGCATACTTCTGTTTTTGGCTGGTTTGGTGAGCTCTCATATGCTTCATATAGTTGTAGTACAACTCATGGTTCACTAGCTTTCTTTGCATGCTTTGTTGACCCTTGATTTTAGCACTTTTTGGCCATCCCTTAAACTGATGTTATGCATATTTTGGACTGCCTTAGTGCTGTTTTTGGGTCTCATGGTTGAATGATGTTTGTTTTGCATGCTTGTAGTTCAATACCTATGCTCAACTTTGAGTTTTGAGGCTCATTCCATGCATATACTGAGGTGTTTTCATGCTTTGGGGTCATTTTGCATCATATTTTAGAGCCTATATGAATGCCATATTCTCATGTTTTCTACTCCTTAAGTGTGCTTGAGAGTTGTCTATGAATGCCTTGTTTTCGGACCAATGAATGAGCTTCATTTCTTTGCATGTTGAGCCATCATTTTAGACTATTTTCCCACTGTTTCAGACATGCCTAGGGTCTGTTTGGGGTTGGTTTTTCCATTTGTGCATTGCTTTGGGTATCTCTAGTGTAACGCACTTCACTAGTTTCGGTACCCGAGCCATCTAGCATGCATTGGGTGACATACTTGCATGTTTCAGGACCATCTTTTGTGCCATTTCAGAGCTGTATCATATGTCATTCTATGCCATATTTCATCCTTTGCCATGCCTAGTTAGAGTTACATGTTGTGCCTTAGGATCGGTCCTTTGCATTCGTGCATATTTGCATGTATCTCGGTTGTCTCATTTTCATCACATGGCCACTGATTTGGGCTTAGTTGAGAGCTGCCCATATTAGTTTAAGCCCATCCCTTTGCATGTTGTCGCATGCCTGCCTTGCATATTGTTGTATGCTTGCTCTATCTTTGCATGTTGTCGCATGTTAGCCTTATTACATGTTGTTGCATGTTCATGTTGCATTTTGTCATGTTGTCCAAGGTTGTTACCTCACATCATGCATATGTGCTTGTTGCATGTCATTAGCCTTGTCAGGTTGTTCATATTGCATGTTTGCCATGCTTACATGTTGCATTATTTGGGTTAAGTGTTAATCCGAGCACGAGGAACGAGGGGCGTTTCATACTCCGAGTGATGGAACGTGTCTCAATTCTCGGTCGTCGAAGCTCTTGATGATTCATGATAGAGTTCTAGGCTTTACTTGCTTTATTTGTGCATTCATTTTCATATTGATTTGCACAAGTTGGATCTTTGGCTATCATGCATCGGGATGCGTGATTGATGGTCGTGGATCCGACTAGGCCTCTCCCTTGATGTTTTGAGGTGATTTGGGGTGGTATAGTGCGTATACACCCTTGGGAGACCCTCCATTTTCTCTATTTTGTACTTTGTTGCAGCTTGGTGTCACAGCACACCAGTGGCCGGCAGTGCACCACTGATGGCCGGCATACTCTCATCCTTGGCCGGCAGTGCCCTGTTGTTGGCCGGCAGTGCTCCTTTCATGGCCAGTAGGCCACTAGTGAACTCTCCAGCAGTGTTTTGGTAAGTTTCAGCAACAAACACTGGAAGACACCCTGCAAACAGAGCCTCTAAAGAGCAACCGGAAGGCGTTTCGATGCGAGGAACCGAAGTAAGCATGCATACCCTCCTCTTCTTCAAACAGAGCTGGAGCAATTCTCTTTTACTGCTTACTAGTTAGTTAGCATTTGTTATTTGTAATAATTAATTTGTTAATTAATTAAGTTGTGTAATAATTAGTTGTAACTAGTTATTCATAGGGTTTTTAAATAATTAATTAGCTCATGAGTTAGTTAATTAGGCGGCTTGTATTATTTATTCGGACCCTCCGAGAGAGGGCACAATTGTGTAATAAGCGTGCGTGAGTGGGTGCATGTCTTCC